TTTTTTTTTCTTAGATCAAATACAATATTCTCACAATTTTATCTTATTTATGAATATAGTTTAGCTCTTTGTATTGTAAATTCAAATTTAAAGAAGCAGAATGGCAACGTTGCAACGAATCTTTGCAAGTACCACGTGAATCGTAAGGAAGATCTGAAAAACCGAATCGATGAACGTTGCCATTGCTATGTCTACATTTTTACTTTTATTGTTAGTTTACATTGTTTTGATAAGTCAAGATTAAACTTTAGAATTATTGCTTCTTACTTAATTTAATGTATGTTTCCCAGTTCTAATAAGCTTCTTTTGCTAGCCAATCTAATCGTTATTAATATACTTGTATATTTCTGATCAAAATGACTGGTCGTTATTAATTTTATTAGTCAAATGCATATGCAATTATGAATGCAATCACAAAATCAGTATCGTGCTTATAATTGGTTCGACTATACCCATTTATTGTCATTGTTTTTGACCAAATCATTACAATAAACAATCAGTCTTATTCCACACGTTATAGAAGAACGAGTAAACTAAGAGGTTACATTAAAAATAGTTCGAACAATCTATAATTTAATCGTTATCCATTTATAGATATTTCTTAGTATTAATTCATGAAATAAAAGAAAAAAGAGGTTTTTTTCTCGAAGTTACGATGAATCTTTCGCATCGAATCTGATACCTTGGCACAATAATGATTTACATCGCCGTGGCAACACTGTCTCACATTCTTTGTGGTCGGTCCGTAGTAGCAATGACGTAAGGACTCTACCTGTGGACCCAATTCTTCGCTGAAGGCCCTATTATGATTCCCCTCTCTTTTTCACGACCGTCCATGGTTCGTCATTCAAACAAGAATGCCCTTTCGATTTTCGTTCGAACGTTTTCGGATGATTTTGAAAGAAACTTTTATATTTTATTAACTGTATCGACATTTACGACATTTTAAACGAACGAACGTGTTTTAAGTTTAAATTTATTTATTGGATATTTCAAATTTCTTTTCTAATCTTTTTTTTTTTTTGTGAAATTCATTTAATTTTTGTTTTAGCAATGTTTTGAAAAGTATTTTCAAAATCAGACGAAATTAGTTCTATTTTAACCGAAAATATTTAAAAAAAAAACTATTGGTAGAGAAATTGTTGAACGTTATTAGGCGAGTAAAATTATTCGATCGCTTAGTTACGGCCCTGGTCACTGCCACTGTCCCTGGCACTGGTTCCACGCTCGTCCATAAGGCTATTCTTCGACAGTCAAGTTGATGGTCGGTTCTCGTGTGATCGTTTAGCGAATAAGCTGTTTCTTTCGTACGTATGTAAATTCCTTCATTTAACATAGGTAATTTTCTAAATTTCTATTTCGTATGAACTCAAAATACAAATTTTCTATCATGGTTACAATCAATTTTCTAAGCTGTAAATTTTCTATTATATAGATATATAGATATATCTATATAAAGTTCTCCAGATGTCCTTTTATCTTTTATTTTTCCACTTTCGTAAGAGAAGAAAGATATCTCCATGGTGCAGGTGTTTTTTCGATTCGTAATGAAGCATTGCATGGTAAGGTGAGAGGAGACGAGATGAGACAAGACGAGACGAAGCGAGGCGTTGTCGTTGTAGGATCTCACCGAGTACCGTAATTCCCGCCATAAAAATCGTCCAGGTAGATCGCCCCGCCATTATTCCTCTCCCCTGGTCCGCTTTCGCTCGAACGCTCTCCCACAAAGGACACTAGGCAAACGGAAGGGTAGGAGAGATGGAGAGAGGCCGGTTATGTTCTTCTCTAACGAATGAGAGAAGAATAAGTAGAAGAAGAAGGGAGAGGATATGTTATGTGTGTTCGTGAGAAAGAAAGAGAGAGAGAGAGAGAGAGCGAGAGACCAAGCAGTGGAGCAATTTAAGGGGGAGGAGTAAAGAAGTAAGAAAGAAAGAGAAAGAGAGAGTAGAAGAAGAAGAAGAAGAAGAATCTCCCTCCAACGGCAACCGCCAAGCAGATTTCTTTCAAAGGGCACGATTTCAGTTTTCAAGGACCCGGCTAGGCTGTGGCATCGTTGTTCGTTCCCGCCGGCGGTTTCGTGCGTTCATTTCAAGCTTACCAAAGCATCTTTTTTTGTTATTTGATATTTTCGAGAATGCCCTTCTCTCAGTCTGCGATCTTTCGTTGGTTTATATATTGTATTGTTACTTTTTTTTTGGTGACTTTATTTTTATATACTTATTACATAATGTTTTTTTCTTTTTAAAATCTTTTAAAAATCAGGAAGAGGAGAGAGAAAGAACGCGCGTGAGAGTCTCGTGCATGGTCTCTATTTTTCTATTTCTTCCCTCTTCCTTTTATTTTCTTTTACTTAAAGCATTTTCAATTCGCTCTCTCAAGGTTAGTAAAAAATAAAAAAATAAAGAAAAAGCAAAATTCTTCGTTTAAATTGTTTCAAATACTTCAATGAATAATTCTAATCGTTCTCGTAGTTTTCGAATTGAACTAATAGAGCCAGACTTTCTCAATACGGCGTCCTACGTCGCTTCGTTCGTTTGTTCCGTTCATTCGTTCGTTCGTTCGTTGCTCGCGCATCGGCCATAATGGGCGCCGCTGTAGTCGCGAGTGAATTTACGCGCAGGGTAGGACAAGCAACGGCGACCTGTTGCTGCTACCTACTACTCTATTACTACTACTATTATTATTCTGCTGTTGTTGCTATTGCTACTATTGTTGCTTTTGTTTCCGTGATTTCGCGTGTGCTATTCTACGCGCGGTAACTTGCAGTGATTATCATTTTTTCTTTTTTTTTTTTTTTTTTTACAAATTTTTCATCGTCATATTCAATTTTCATCGTCATTCATTTTCTCATTTTTCATACGTTTTGTTAACGTGTGTGCGTTCCATTTTTATCGTATAAGGAAGATGGAAGATCATTACGCGCTAAGGAAAAAAGAAAAAATGTAGAAAGAGAGAAAGAGCAGAAAGAGAACAAGAGAGAGAGAGAGAGAGAGAGAGAGAGAGAGCCGACAGATTTCTTTCAACGGCTGAGATTCCGTTGGTTCATCTCCCCTCTCCCCATTTTGTAATCTCCCGACCTTTCGTCGAACGAGAGGAGCGTTTCCGGTTGGATAGCGCCTTCATCATCACTCGCTAGACTTTCTTTCTTTTTCTCTCTTCGTGTTCTTTTTCTCGCCATTGGAATTCACGCGAATCGTAGCATCTTCTTCTCTTGCTCACGGGAACAAATTATTTCCCTTGAAAGGAGCATCGCGTGACGCTTTACGTTATACCGACTCGTTTTCATGATGCGACGTTTCCATCTCTTTTTTTTTTTTTTTTTTTTTTTTGTTTCCGTTTGTTTCTCTTTCTGATCCCCTTCCTCGGTCGTATAGAACTGGCATTTCTTCCGACTACGTGTTTGCTGTCGCGCGTCCTCCTCATCATCTTGCGTCCCGTTCTTCAAGTTCTATTATAATTTTCTATGGAAAGTGAAATTTTCTTTTCTTTAGTCATTCCTCGTAGAATTCTTCAGTGTTCTTTTCTTTTTTTTTTGCGATGCACGCTTACATTTATTTGTATAGTTATTTAATTTTTACTAATTTATTTTCTCGTTTTCAAGGTCATATGATATATATATATATAGACGAAATATAAGAAAATAATTTACTTATTTACATTTTTTTTTCTTTTAACTGATAATTACAGAAGTGAAAGTATGAATTTTGAAATACAGATTTGACCTGGGAATGAACGAATGGCGAACGAACACGCGTCAATAAATCGAGTTTATAACTTGCTGACTTATTCGATATCGAAGTGTATCTAATATTTGTGGATAACCTTGCATTCCTCGGTTCGCGTGCCGGTGATAGTAGTAGGGACATGCGCTCTTTCTCTTTCTCCCTCGGTCTTTCCTTTTCTCTTTCTCTTCCTCTGTTGCGTGTACGCCAGCCATGCCGCATGTTCTGTATGCGTGCGTGCAGAGAGACGAGTGCGTCGACCGATCGTACGGTGGATATGAGAACGCGTCGTAGCCATCGTAGTCGTAGTTGTGTAGTTGATTCTCTTCTCACCACCATTGCAACCTGTTGCTGTCCTGTTTTGTTCCATTCCGAACAACTTTCGTCCTCGAAACTTCTCTAAACGATCTTTCCAAGAATAATGCGTAATAGTCTTCTTCAGCGTCTTCATTTATATATATATTTCACGCTCTTTAAAATTATTATCTTCTATTTTGCGAATCGTAAGTACATTTCAAAGCAATGTATTTCTTGTTTTCTTTATTGAATGCACAATCATGTTCTATTGTGTGTTTAGATTCTTTTTTGATATTTTTCGTAACTTTCGATTATTTCATTTATATTCGATTCAATTAATAATGTACTTTAATCATTTTCAAATTTCTACTAATTTTTTCTTAGCATTAAGGGTTACTTTTCGTGCAAAGAACATGATTAGAAAAAAAAAAAGAAAGATTTGATTTTATTGATACGAATAGATTGTATTTCTTTAGATACTTTCATATCCGTTATATTTCTTGGTAAAAAAAAAAAAAAAAATTATAAAACATTTAAATCTAATATCATAGTTTCCTTTCTTTTATCGTAAAAACAAGTTTTAGTAGTATAGCCGTGAGTTGGACGAATTCAAATTAACCAGGAATAGTTTGTTGCACTTTCTTAGGCATTATCTTTGGAGTTTCTCGAAATATATTACTATTCTTGCAAGTTAATACTCTTAGATATTTTTTTTCTGGTAATCTAAATATTCATATGTTTAGCGATGCTATTTATATCTTGCAAATTATCTTAGTATTGTATTTGTTGATTATAAACGCGTATGATATCAATACGCTTATAATATGTGATAATGTACACATAATAACGAGTTAAAGTACGAGACTACTGTTAGTTTGTTCACAAATTCTAAGTAACAATTTTCTTTTATTGTTAATTCGTTTATCTTTTGTAAAGATTTGATTCCTACGAGACAATTGATTGAGTTTTTTTTTTCATTCCAATAACAAAACAAAAAATAAAGTAAGAGGAATAGAAGGAAGGAGGTAGTCAAGGTCGTAAGGAAACGCGGGACGCTGTCTTATGGTAATTCTTTCTGTCAAGACCGATTCTTCGGTGAGTCGTACACATCTATCAATTAAGTACAATTGACCGACAACTATCTGCCCAATGTATGTCCACTATCTTTCTTTCTCTTCCAACATCTTTTTCTCAAGCATACATACCCGCCTTGTTCTTCTTGATTTATTTTGTCTCCTGTTTACTTTTTTTCATTTTCTGTCGGTAATAGAGATTTATTATAACAACAAAAAATCGATATTAGTTGCGTTTGTTTCATTGTATGTATTCACCTTGGTTGTATTCTGCATCGTGAAATGCGAGTAACTGGTAAAAGTTCAACGTCGTTTCCCACGCTTCCCTCTTTCTCTTATACGTTCGTTTGTTCGTTCTCTTCTTCTCTCCCTATAGACTTTATCTCTCTCTCTCTCTCTCTCTCTCTCTCTCTCTCGTTCTATCCGTCGATCTTATGACCGTGGGACGAGGGGGATGAAAGGCAATGGGAAGGGGCAAGTGGTCGGTGAAGCGACGAGAGAAAGATGAAGGTGGTGGGGGTAGGAGCCACGCGAGTGGTCGAAACCGAAGGGAATCGTACTTATATTCTTCTTACATACGTTCGAAGATCGTCGTTGTCGTTGTTGTCGTCGTCGTCGTCATCATAGTCATAGTCATAGTTTTAGTTTGTGATTTCGTGATCTCAAAATCGCAGCCTTGTGAAATCTCTTCTTTTTATTATTATCATTATTATTATTTCCTCGTATTAAACTTTGATTTTGTAAGCGTTTGTTTACACATTCTCAGAATGATTTCCGATCTTCCTTTTCTTTTTCTTTTTTTTTTTCTGGTGTAATCCTTATCGAATGATCTCGAAAGTCAAAGTAAATAAACATTTCGAAGGTCGATACTCCTAAATATTATTTTTTGTAAATATCGAATGGTTATTTTACTTATCTACTTATTTGACGATATAATCGTGTAGGTTCGACAGCGACAAAGTTAATTGTCGATCTCGCATCACATGGGAATCGCGTTAGATGCAAAGAAACTACGAGTAGAAGAAATGCTTTGAAATTGATTGAAATAATACGTAATAAAACGAGTGCTAAAAGTCCTTAGGTTAACGGCAGTTTAACCTTTCGTTTCTTGCCTCTTTCTGTCTCTCTCTCTCTCTTTCTCTCTTTCTTATCTCATGAAATAACCCTTTTCTTCGACTTTGTCGTCTTCGTCGTTCTTCGTCGTTCATCGTCATTCATCATTGTCGTTGTAGTCGTCGTTATTATTCAAGTTACAATGATTACGCGTAAAATATCCTTCCCCCCTACTCTTTCTTGTCCCCTGGATTTCTCCTTCTTTCCTCTTTTTTTTTTTTTCTTTTCTATGATATTATGGCCGATCGAGAGTGCAACGAACGATTGCGAAATAATTAATTCCCGAGTTTATCGGGCATGTGTACTCTTCATTTAAAAGCGAAAGAATTAACAAAAAAGAAAAAAACAAAAACAATCATGAAGGATGAAGATGTATCATCAAGCAGGAAGAAAGAAGAAGACATCGATTTCTGGATGTGCAGAATGAGTGAAGGTCTAGTGCACAGTCGATCAAGTTGTGACTAGATCCACACTCATTAAGCACGTTTGGTATTAACATCGCAGTTTCATCGATAATTTTCTGAAATAACAGTGGCTCTCGATATTCTTTTTTAAATGAACTCATGTCCATTTATTTAAGATATCGCAAGCTGTGTCACGATACTTCGTGCTTATTTATAATATTTTGGATGAATCTTACCTTTCTACCTAATCTTTACCTTTCTTATTTTTTCCTTCCTTCTCGATTATGTAATTTGTATTAGTTTCTAAACATTTTTCTTGCCAAAGAGAAACAAATCGAATGTATATGAGAGTATTTTTTTGTTATAAATATAATAATTTAATTTTAGAAACATTTTTGTAATTATTTATCATCAATTTATTTAATTATATATATATATATATATATATATATGTATATCAAGGGAAAATGTTTTTTTTTTTTTTTTTTTTTCCAGTATGTTGAAAATATTCAACATATCGAGAGCCCATTGTTATTTTGAAGTTTTAAATAGTATTTTAAATAATTAGAACAAAAAGTCGATTCCATAGACGAGTGTGAATGTGGTGCACGTATGCTCTATTTTCTCGTGACTAGATACATACTCGTCTACGGCAAACTATTTTGGATATTTTCAATAAGTGTGAAATGGAAGCACGTATGAATAAAAGCTTGATTTTTCCCCTGGATCGTTAATAATAAATACATATTTATCATTTATCACTATAAATTTATTCCACCCAATCGTATAATAATTTTGCCTATTTTTTTCTTCTTCTTTTTTATTTAAAGAGCAAAAGGGTACGCAGTCCAGATTTATTGGAAAATGATGAAGATACTAAAATACGTGCCGTGGATTCGCAATTTTTTCCCCTTAGTTACGCGCCAAGATCGTAAGTTTAAAATTAAAGTAGAAATTAAGCAGAATGTTTTTTATAGTTATTCAAAATTATTAATGTATTAATATTAATGTAAATTTCAGCGATACTTTGGTCAGATGTCGCGTTAATCATGACTCAGGAAAGACTATATTATTTTTTGGAAAAGAAATTTCATCATGGAACAGAGAATCCGATTACGACGTGAATATCGTATCAATAAGCGAAACTGTACCATTTAATTTTTTATACATGTACGAATTACTTCGGTATCAACAAAGCAACATTTTCTCCGCTTGTTATGAAATCGGAAAACGTTTGTGCAATATTTGGTCGAAAACTGACCGTACCAATATACTTTATACACAAAATGTAACATTTCAAAGTCAAGCGAATTTTCGTACCTGGGGTCGGATTCTTTGCGATTCTCATACCAAATCTGATATCACCAGTTATATGTTGGAAGGTTGTAAATTGTCGAACGACGGGTATAAGGCTGCCACCATTTCTTTAAATTTAGACGGTGTAAAACAATATTCTTTGTATCCGGGTCAAATCGTGGCGGTAGAAGGAACGAATCCAACGAATAGTGTATTTAATGCGAAACAATTCTTTACTAAAGGTTATGCTAGTAAAAGTGAACCGCCTAAACTTAAACAAAATTTAAATATTATGGTTGCGGCAGGTCCGTTCACGTTGTCGGATAATTTGTGCTATCAGCCATTGTTCAATATTATGGAACGCGTAGTGAAAGAAGAACCTCATATATTAATACTCATTGGACCATTTATAGAGAAAAGTCATCCACAAGTGAAGAATTCTAAACTCATGGAAACGTTTCAAGAACTTTTCGAGAGACTTCTAGTCAAAGCTATGCAATATTTATTAGGGTATGATATTTTTTATTTTGCTCTTGTAATCGATGTTATATAAATTTGATTTTTATTCATTATTTGAGTAAACGATTTTGTGATATCTTTCAAATGATCTTTTTTTTTCTCACGTTCCATTGCAGAAAGTCTGTTAAACTTGTGATAATACCTTCGCATCTAGATGCTCATCATTTTGCCGTTTTCCCAACACCCAAATTTCATATTAATAAGGATAAATTTCCTCAAAATGGTGAAAATCTTTATATGATGTCAGATCCTTCTATTGTGGATATAGATGGTTTGATAATTGGTGTAACCTCAGTAGATAGTATTAAACATATATCAAAAGAAGAAATTTCGTAAGTAATTAAGGTTCTTAAATATAGTCATATACGATATATTATAATATAGATATTATATTTTGTTATAATTTATATTTTTTTTTTTTTCAGAAATTTTCCAGCAACGGATAGACTTATTCGCATAGCTGATCACATATTGTCTCAACGCTGTTTTTACCCATTCTATCCTCCTGCTGTAAATCTCGATACAAAACTGTGGAAAAAACACGCTTTCTTTAATATACAACCGCATATATTGATTTTGCCATCAGATATGCGTTATTTTTGTGGCGTAATCAATGATTGTCTCGTTTTAAACCCTGAACGATCGATCAAGCAAATGTATGCAAGGTTGTGTATTAGACCAAGCGAACAATGGAATCCTCATAACGTATCTTGTGAGATAGGAAAAATCTGAGAATATTATTCGCGTGATATTCTTGATTACCATTAGCACGTTGTACTTGTCTATTTAAGAAAATAATATTTTCTTTGTACTATTTTTTTTCTGTTTTTTTTGCCAAAGTTTAATCTAAACAAAACAAAAAAATTATTTTTATTTTTTAAACTCATTTCATTCAAATACATTTATAGTATGTATAATTTTTTTAGTTTGGAGCGAATAATATATTTTTCAGTTAGGCTTATTTTGAGGGATCGACATTTTTAATTTTTCGTCCTTGTAGGTTTTTTTTTTATTTAATGATTATTAAAAATAAATATTGCATTTTTATAGTCATTCGATTTTTATTTAATTTATTTATTTTTCATAGCAAGTAATGAAGACTTAGTAGATTTGAATAAATTATTCTTTTTAAATTTAAAATTCAAGTTAAACTCTAAAGAATTGATAAGTTAGCCGATAGAGGTCAGTACCGGTTTTGTTCCGTACGGTCAAGTTCAAAATTACACCGCTCACACGTGACGGCGCCACATGTACGACGAATCTGAGTAATCGGGGTTTTCTGCTTGTACTGAGCCGTGGAATCGGCCATTACTTCAATATTTCTCCCGCGAACAAATACCTACAATCCACGATGAGGAGACAAAAGAGTCTGCAAAAATCGGGGTGAGTGTTCGTGTTTATTTTAACGTACGTTTGCCCTTTGACCTCGTTTCAATGACGAGAAACATCAAGCGAAGAGAAAGTCCATTGGAATTAGCAACCTGCCAAATTTCATGGACGCCATCTTTCTTACGAATTCGTATACATTCCAATGTATACATTAACGATTTTTACCACATTCTTATTCCCAGGCTTGTATTTCACGATTTCGAATCCTATTTCTCGTTTCTAAAGTAACCGAACTGTCTATTCGACTAATACGTCATTTTTCTCATTGTTATTATACGATCGATGTTCGCGGCCTTGAATTTTGCCGCACTACTATCACAATCGATAACACGCGTGGATTTTGTATTTTTCATTATCTTTTTATTTTTGTTTTTGTTTTTGTTTTTAATTCATTACAATCAAGCATAATTTCATTATACCACAATGCATTCTATATCCAAAAGAATTAGTGACTTTGATTATATTTTTAATATTATAACACGCATCAACGTTTGAAAAGAAAAACAATAGAAAAATTAAAGACGCGTTTTGTCTTCTTTAATTTAGAAAGTTGATTACAGATGCTACGTTTTTTTTAGACGACAAAATTACATTGGATGATGTCGGCAAAAGTGAAAGTTCTGAACGTTTAAAGTTCGTGACCGAGTTTAGGTGTTTCTTAAATTCATTCGTTTAAATTTACTAGATGGGTACTTCATATACAAGGAGAAAGAAAATGAGCTATATAACGTTCCGATCCCATAAAGGAATACTGTGGAATAAATTTGCGTTCGTTTTGTGACATAATACGTAACTGACAAGGTAATCCGTGACATTAATCTTCCAGTTAACGCATGGCTACTTCTCGAAAGCACGTGACTCTCTGTGAATCGTTTGATAGTCCACTCTATTGCACTCGATGCACATTATTTATATTTTCGTCTTTTTAATATTTCTTATATATTTTCATCTCGATAGATTTAAAAAAAAGTATCAACTAATGAAAATACAAATTCCGATATTATCGGCTCCAATTACATATCTTTTTGATAATAGTTTTTAGAATAAAAATAATTCAATTAAAAACGCTATATGTATGGAATATAAATTATGCATTCAATAAATCAGTATAGTTTTTTAATAATACAGAATCAGTAATTCATCTTTACAGCTAATTCTTCAATTTAATTGCCACTGATATTCACAGAGTCAAATTTCAAAACTATTCTTTATCAAAACCAAATAGTCATCTTGATTGTGACTTGTCATTTAGAAGAGAATTCGTCCTTCTTCAATCGTATAAATCATTTTTTTTTTGTTCTTACAGCAACATACTCTTCGCCATAGACGTCACGAAATATTTTTGGCGGCTTCTGTAATATTACTGAAAGCATGATTAAACTCTTAGAAGCAACACGTGTCAGAAATGTTGTTCGTTTTTATTCACTTCAGACCCCCTATAGTTTTAATTTATATCTTTAGTAACATCTAAACATCATTTATATAAGAATTCTCGTATAAGAAAATTTCAGTTATTGTGTTATGTATTAATACAGTAACGAGAGACAATTGATATTATCGCTAGAAATTTACTATGAAATGAAAAACGCAGGAAATTATTGGACAATTTAATGCATACAAACTCATAAATTATATTTCATTGATCGTTATACGTTTGTAGCGAGGGAAACACGAATTCGTGATGAGGTGAATATATAATAAATATGTAAATACTTATTTACGTGTTGATAACAATGGAAAGACACGTGATATTAATCATTCATTCACAAAAATCTATCCTCTTCGTTTAATTTTATTCAATATTTCATTTTTATTCTTACATAACAATATAAAAACAATATCTTTGTTATTTTGTTAAATAGTATTGAATTATTTTACATAAACTATTGAATATTTATCAAACGTCTAATGTATTATATTCGATTATATGTTTAGATTATATGGTATTTACTTGAATGATATTCCATTTGCTTCCTTTGTCGAAATCAAAAAGAAAACTATTCTGAGAAAGAGAATAAAATATTAAATAAAATTAAATATCAATTTGATGCAAAAGTAATAACAATTTTTATTGTTTTCAATCTAATTAGAATTAATGCAATACATTAGTGCAAAGGGTGAAATAAAATTAACTAAAATTTTTCTTTGTACAACTATTTTTTCATTCTTAAATATTATAGAATTTAAATCTTTAAATTATATAATCACTAAGGCATAAATTAAATTCACGCGATATTTGATTGTATAAATTATTACAAACAACATTGTTTGTTCGACAAATTTCATGATGAAAATAAGAAAGAACATGTAAGTCCTTTAATTATTGATACAAATTGTTTAAGAGCTATTATTTTAAAACTAACCCATGTAAATAATAATTTAAGAATTCTTAAAATAATTGAATGTTGATCATTACACAGAATTATTTCAAACTCTCTAAAATAATTAAAAATACATTTTTCAATTCAATACTTAAAAAACCATTATTCTTTTTTCACTAATGAAAGAAGAATTATTTGTCGGTTATCCCTTCTCTTGGAGATATCATAGATCAGAGTTCATATACACAATATATGTATAAATATATGCGTAACATCGGTAGTATGAGAAAGTGAGAGTGTCATATCGATCCGATTTGTTCCTCGTCTGCCTACCTCAACCCTAATTTGGTCTCTCCGGTAAGATGATATTATTATTATCTTATTATATTTCTCATTATCATTTCTATGTTCTAATTATAATCTATTTACTAATTTCTTTTTTGTTACATGAAGTGGATGGTGTCTTTAAGAAAGAAATAAATATACATATTTTTCATATTGTTTTGGTACAGTACTGTTGTACAAGTACTCAATTGGAGACGAAAATGAATAAATAGATATTTTATCTTTCTCTCAATATTAAATTTATAGATAAGTATCTATATCGGAAATGTTAATGGCGTTGCTTAGGTGTAAGGTCTGTTCGTATTAGAATGAACTTTATAACGCACGATATTCATACATAAGTATTATACTATACTTAAGTATAAGTTACGCTTTTCTACACGACTTTGAACATTGAGCTTTGACGTAGTAAATGGCTTGTGTCATCGGTACTTAGGTGTGATTCAAATAATCGTCCATGATTCCCGAAAGAATAATATCATTTGTTTTATTTACGTTTCGATGATGATCTCACCGTCGAAAAAAATATCATCGAAGATACACCGTTTGTGCAGGAATGCTGTTTTTTTCTTTCTTTATTCTTTTCGAAAGAACGTATACACAGTGTAATACGTAATTCGGAGTTGTGTCCTTGTCTCGTCTCTCCATTTCAAGGTCTTATTCGTCACAACATTTCTTTCTATATAGTTTTAAAATCCCTCTTTTTCTTTCTTTTTTTCGTCTTTTGTTTTTTTTCTTCTTCTATTCTCTAATTTTCTGATACATTACTTACGTAAAAACATGTTTTCATTCGTTTCTCTTCCAATAGCAATTTAGATATACAGGGTTGGGTATTTACAGTAATTAGATCAATTATAACGACGAAAATCTACACCTGTTTCATAAAAAAAATAATAAAAAAAATATATTAGAAAAAAAACCGATTTGAAAATCATTATAAATCTTCTCTCATGATTTTTTTTTTTATTATTTTTGATGATTGCAATACAAGCGAAAATATACGTATCCATCTTCCCTCAGGACGTTGCTCTAAATGAACGTTTCTCTAGTCAATCAAGTTTATCGTGTTACAGTGTTCAGTATGTAACAACAAGCATGTCTTTTATTGTCCTTAATACCTTGTTACATATATATATATAATGATGATCTATATAAAATGGTGGTATTCTTCATTCGTCGTATGAATGATACTTGCTGTTAAATTTGAATGAAAATTATTTTCATTTTTCTACTGATTATATTTATAAAATACTTTTCTCTCTTTTTCTTACTCTTTATTATGTTCTTTTATATTGTTTAATTTTTGTACAGTAATAAAGTTTATAACTGTAGACCGATAAGAGCGTTCGACGAGAAATTTGTTTAGCGTCGTTAAGATTAAAAAATTATTTTAGTTTATATAGGAAATAGATCGGAAGAAGTATGTATTGGGTTGTCCGGGGAAAGTTCGTGCCGATTTTTGATAGATGGCATTTAAGTTCTTTTGCTAAAAAACCTGAAAAGTTCTGGAAGCACAAAATTTTAAAATTATCATATTATTATTATTATATAAATATATAACAAAAAAAAAATTTAATGCGTTACATTTCAATCTTCTGTCAAAATCGGCACGAACTTTCAGGACAACAACCCAATATATATGTATATTTATATACGTATACAGGTAGATAAAATCAGATATTTAAAATATATATTGTAGTACTATTTGTAGTATATAAAGATAATTAAATACACCTTTGATTGGTCATAGTTCAATGTATATATTCATTCGTTTGATTTGTGATTAACGGTGACTGTTTGTCGTACGTTATGTAATGGTAAAGAGACGTAAGAAAGTGAGTGAGTGCATGGCGTAAGAAAGTGCATTCGTTTATTGTGTGTATATATAGATACAAAACAACTATTATGCTTATAGCCAAATTTTATGTTAGTCTTCTACAACGTTCTCTTAAAATGATTTGTTTTTAAATGACAAGATTTGAACTCGACAAAATGACTGCTTTTCAAATCCAAATGTAGAATGTAAATGTTGCGTTAAATAATTGATTAAAAAGAGAGATATTATAGATATTTATATGGAAGGCAAACTCGCGCACACGTGGGCGCGAATCTTGTTATATCTGTTCTCTCTTTCTTTCTTTCTCTCTCCTTTTAACTCCTTTTCTCTCGCACATACACACAACACACTCTGTGTACTATGCAGATTCTATTCTTCTTATTTTGTTGTTGTAAGTTAATTTTTTAATGGGAAATAATAACGATCAATCTTAAGTTCTAAATAATTTTGATAACATTATCATAGATCGAATGAAATGGGACACTCGGTATATGATCACTGTGGAGGTCTTGAAAGAAAGAGAGAGAGAGAGGAAATAGTGAAGGAAAAGTTAGCGAGTCCTACGCTGGTGGGCTGTTTTGGGCGGACGACGGCTGTGCACAAAAACGGCGGCAGTCAAGTTCAAGGCCACCATCCCCTCCAGCAGGTCCATGGCCGCCGCCGACTACCCCCACCACCGACCACCACGTATCCTCACAGTCTATGTATGTAGATATATATCTGTATATACTTTATATAATATACACATATATACACGTATGTATGCGTATCTTATAAATATGTATGTGTGTATGTATGTATATACATAACGACGCGCCAGGAGTGTATCAATCCCGGCTACGAAAACGAAGGGTAGTGAAGAAGGCAGAAGAACCTCGATCGATTTACCCTCAATTCTCTTTCTCTTTCTCTTTCTTTCTTTTTCGGTTTGTCCCTTATTTGCGATATATTATACTAATTTTTGTTATATTGTATTTTTTTTAAATATTATTTTGATATTTTATAGACTCTTGTCGATATATATTTTCTATTTGCTTGTAATATGATTTAACAGGACGATATAATAATTTACTTACATATATGCATAGTAATATATATATATATATATATATTAATATATATAATTATACATATATTAAATATATATAATAATATTATTATTAAAATATATTATGTAATTATAATAATATATTAATCAATTTATATATAGTATATAATATTTTTTTATATTGTTATATTGAAAGAAAGTATATATTTTGAAGACGTTTATTTTGTATTGTCCATTTTTTATTATTGCAAAATATTTAAGGGTTTGTATTTTTAAATAATTGTCAAAATATTGATAAGCACTAATGGACAATTTTTTTACATTGTATTCTCCAGAGATTGGGTAAAAAGTTTTCGTGTTTTATTTCATGTACTAGAGGATATGAAAAGAATTGATTTTCTAGATTATCATTTTTTTTTATCCTACTCCAAAATTATGATCATTTGGTTAAAATAAATGTCCTGATAATACAAATTTGGATAAATGTTTATAATAGCAGCAATATAAACACAAAAAATGAAAATTAATTTTATTTTCTAAATTTTCAACCTAAAAGATGAACTTTTATCATTTTTTAAATAAACATATTTACGTAAATTTTAAATATAAAGGATTTTGAGTTATTTTTACTGTAGATTGTTTATAGATACAAATATCTTCGTTTTATTCAAAAACTGACTCGCTCAATTTTCGAAATAAACAGCTCATTTAATTTCTAGTAATATTTGATTTACATTATCTTAGTTATCGCGTTGGTTGCATCTGTTGTTTTGGAAAAATTGTAATTGGACGCATATTGGTATATTACAAATATTAATTAACATTAATTTTGATTTTGAACGTATATTATTTTTCAGTTAGTTTACATTTAAAAGTGTATATATATATATATGTATGTATGTATAACTATTATAGTTAGATAGGAAAAACAAAGGGGAAAAAAAGAGAAAATGATAGAAAATATATTTGAACGGTTCGAAAGATATCACAAATCGTTCCGAGTGCGAACAGATAAATGAGATAAGTTCTATCATATGTTGGCCTCAAGGTGAACAGTGTTAATGACCGATTTGCCATGGCCATGAAAAAGCCGAAAATGAGATATATTACAACGTGGTATTTGTAATTATCGGATAACATATGCGTATATTGCAGATATCGAACGGGGAACGATTTGATCTGAGATACGCGCCGATGATAACGCAATTTTCTGTCTCCGTTAGCTAATGTAATGCAATTGTGTCTACGGTAAACATGTGCTATTATTTCCTAAGATTTTTCAAACGATTATATCAATAACAAGTATTTGTTTTCATTCTATTATGTTTTTATAATTAATTGGATCGTCCTGTTAGTTAGGAGAATCATAAATACTGAATTTATTTGAAATTGTTGAATTATGTATTTGAATCGTTTCATAATATAGCTTATTATGTATAGAGAATCAAAAATTGTTGATAAGACGAAAGCATGTCGCCTGTGATCATCCAGTATGATTGTCCAATTGCGGTCATTAGCAATGTAAATCAGAGAGTACTCGGTGTCCGTTCTGTCAACTTTACATAATATAACGTTCGTTTTAATGAATCTTTCATTATCTCCAATCGATCGTAGAAAAATGACGAAAAGAGATTTGCGATAATTCATTTCCATTGATATCACGAAGTTAATGCGAGACGCAACGTAAATTTCAAGTCACGTCGGGTGAGCGATCGAGTGATCAATTTATCCGCACGTTATCGACATATTCACTGTTTGTTATCAAAGATTATTTGACTTATTTTGACGACTGTTTTCGTCAGTTGCGAAGTAAAAGTTTTTCATCACTATAGAAATTTTAGAATATAAGGAAGTTGGAAGGAACGAGATTGAACATCAATGTGTTGAACAATAAATGTTAAATAATCGTTTGGAAATTTGGAATAAGTGTAAGTTTGAACTTTGGAAGGTAACTAAAAACGAGGAACACACAGATATCATTTGTAAATACATGTCATACGAATCGTAATCACTTATTGACAAAGTCGTTGCTTGACATAGACGTAAGATTATTTTTTTTTCTCCACAACCGAGTAGATAAAGTACAAATGTCGAGGATATTTTTTTCCTTGTATTATCCTGTCCCTGCGAACAGTACCTTTAGGCGCTCAACCATTAATGCATATTTAGGTTTTTTTTTTTTTATCAATATGTTTCATATTCAGAATTTTTGTTTAACAAAGAACGACGTGTATCATGCCCCATTCATGCGACCGATCTCTGACAGTCACACTTAATTTTTTAAGTGGTTCGCATCGAAAGGGTTAATGCAATTCCATTATGATCTCTTTTATAAAACTAAGTATATTATTTTAAAAAAGAAAGTAAATGATATAAAAAATGTCTCTTAAAATGAAATTAGTGATTGTTTGTAAGTTTGATATTGTAGTAGTACATGTATGGAAAGATAAAAAAGTAAAAAAAGGAAAACAGAAAAAAAATAAGAAAGGAAAAAAAAAGTTCGGCAATCGTTGGTTGGGTGCGATCGAGGGGATGCGTGGGGAATAGAATGGGGTAGAATAGACTAGAGTAAAGTACAGTACAGTACAGTACAGTACAGTAGAGCAGAGTAGAGTAGGGTAAGGTAGGGTAAGGTAGGGTAGGGTAGGGTAGGGTAGGGTAGGGTAGGGTAGGGTAGGGTAGGGTAGGGTAGGGTGGCGTAGCGTGCTGTGCCGTTCCGTGGGGTGGGGGTGTTACCGCATCCTCTGGCGCGTGTTTGTACGTTCAGTCGCGCGCGAGCCGCGGTTTCGCTGAGTTGGTAGTAGAGTGTAGTAGTTATTACGTTAAAGTAGCGTTGCTCAACGTAACGTAGCGCCACGCGGGGATGATTCGTGGTGCGTTTAATTATTTTATTTCCTCTACCGTCACAATAATCACTTTTTATTCCTTTACCTTTATATTTTCCATATTATTACCCTTTACCTATTGCATTTATTGTATTATTTCTATTCTAATAACGACGTCTTCCTTGCCCTCGTGATACATCCCACCGCCATTTTCTTATTTTGCTTATTCTCACTTTGCTTATTCTTCAGTGTGAAAAGGAGCGAGAACGATATGGAGGCCTGGATGTACGACGTGGTACGTGCTTTTTCTTCTTTCTTCTTTTCTATTCTTTTTCCCCTCTTTTTTTTTTCTTCTTTTTTTTTTTTCATTTTTGTTTACCTCATTTACCTCTTTTCCCTTTAACTATCTTCTCTTTCTCTTTCTCTTACTCTTACTTCTCCCCCCTTTCTCTTTTACTTTCTCTTTTATTTTCTCTCCCTCTCCCTCTCTCTCTTTCTATCGCAGATCTCGTGGCTTTGTTTACGTGGTGCGCGCGCGCTCCACTCCGATCGAAGCTTTTCGAATGAAGACAGACAGAGAGAGAGAAAAAGAGAGAGAGAGAGAGAGACAGACAGAAACAAATATAGATATAGAGACAGAAGTAGAGATAGCTCTAGATATAGATATAGATATAGATATAGATATAAAGATAGATGATATAAAGATAGAGATAGGGAGAAAAAGAGAGAGAAAGAAAGAAAGTGAAAAAGAAAGTGATAAGGTTTTCTTTAATTTTCGGTTAATTAATAATAATTTTTTTATTTTTCTAATCAAATAATGTCGTAGAGCTCATACTGTATTTATCTTTTTATTTTGATTTTCTATGTCCCACTTATATCTGTATTTCATCAGAGATGTTTTTGATCTACTATGGACCAAGTTGGAAAAATAATGTTTTTTTTCTTTGGCGAAATGATAAGAAAGTTCATAAGTCTTTCGGAACGGTTTTATTACTACTAACTTACTTCATATTTGGTCTCTTTGTCTTTCGGAATATCCACATTTTGTAGCATTTGACTTGTATTTATTTACGTGTTTTTTTGTTCTCTCTCTCTCTCTCTATCTCTCTCTCCCTTTCTTGACGTCGAGAACGACTTTACACGAAAAGTCAGTTAGAGTAAGAGAGAGAAAGAGAGAGAGAGAGAGAGAGAGTCAGGGAAGAACTAGGTAGAAAAGATTAGAAGGAGAGGTGAAATTAATTAGTGTCAAATTTTTTTTCTAATAAAATATTAATATATATATACTTTATTACTTGTCTACGTTTAATCGTCTTGCGTATTGATTTTAATTCTTTACATTAATTACATTAATTAATTGAAAGCTATTATTTTTTTCTTTTTGGGGTAGGTACTTCTTGCGTTTCTTTTATCCAAATGATTAATTTCTAAGGAACAAAGGAAATATGGTTTTATCTCTATTTTATGTGTGTGTGTGTGTGTGTTCTTTCTATCTTCCTACGCTCTGTTAAAATAAAACGAATCTTACGGCTCATAGAATAATTTCTTTGTGCTCCGACTTCGCATTTTCGAGAGAAGAATTAATGTGCAAACGAAAGAAAAAAAAAAAAAAGGGATAAGAAATTTGTCGTTTATGTTATAGTGGTGATCGTTTACGTTTTTCTTATTGAAGAACACGCACGTGGACGAAAAATACGCAAAGAAGAGATGATGATAGTGATCGTAGTCGTTATATTTGAAGTTGAAACTGAGAAAATGACACTTATTTTACTTCATCTTTTTCCTTTTACTTGGAGGAAAAAAATCTAGAATGAGAGATTAGCAATTTTCAAAGAAATTGTTTGTTTTGGTTTGACATTACTCGAAAAATAGTCGAACGTTTTAACGCGTTTTGTTATTATCCTATTCTCTTGTATTAATTTTTGATTATCTTCGTACGTAATTCGTTTTTCTTTATCTTTGAGCTTTCCACCTGAAAAGTTTTTTGATTAAAAAAAAATTCTCAATCCTTGTTGGTTCACAAACAACTCGCGTAAGAAAAAATTCTTCTTCTTTCGTCACTTATCACCCCTACCGTTTACCCACTATGTAAGATTTCTAATATATACATAGGTAAGTAAGTAAGTAAGTAAGTAAGTAAATACTTTACTCGAGTTTCCATCGATCCTTCGTGTTTTCTTTATCTTTACATTCGTTGCTTGCTTTTTTTCGTTCGTTCGTCCGTTCCTTAACCCTTCCAAGACGACGCTGCCCTTGGAGCGAGGATAGAAAGGATATCTAAATATAAAATTCGAAGATATGCTCGAAATAGCAATGCGAGGATGGAAACGTGGGATTCGGTGGAAAAACTTGATCTCAAGTCTTGATAAAGAAATCAAAAAGTTACATTTAAAGGAATTCTCTCCTTGATATTCCTTTACATTCAATTTCTTCATTCTTACGTTACCGACTTCTTCTTCTTCTTCTTCTTCTTCTTCGTCGTCATGGAGAGTAATAACACAGATTTGGATTTTAAAAATAGATAATGCCGCCCTACCTTTTGAAATTGCTCATAAACGATTGTCTCGTATTAGGTTTGTGCGAGCATTTCGTATCTCTCCTACGTGATCTTCAAATTTACGGTGCGTAACGCACATCCTTCGTCATGAACGTGAGTTATGCTATTAGTATATGCTACATATGTATATGCTATACATATGTTAAGCAGCATCAAAATATTATACGTAGTGAAATATAAACGTGATCACACGATTTTGTTCAATTGTACGCGTGCGTCGAAGCAGAAGAAAGAACCGGAGGGCAATGCTTTACCGAGCTTCTTCGATTTCCTCCTACCCCAAAGAGCAGCCTTCTCTCTCTCTCTCTCTCTCTCTTTTTTTTTTTTTTGTTGGTCCGTCGACCTTGAACGGTCCTTAACTTTTCTGACGTGCCGCATAAGCGTCGTCTCGTCGACAAGATTGATATTTATTCTATTTCTTTGTATAATTTTATTTTTATACAATTTTATTCTATTTATGCTTTTACGTGTCTCGAATATCGTGTTTTACAGTTTTTTGATGATCATAAACTTCTCGACAATTTTTTTTTTTTTTCGAATGAAAGAAATCAGTTTCAATTTATGTCTACTGTGTTGTAGGCAAATGTTAGATAACAATTTTACAGATGACGATTTTAACACGTTGAACTTTTGCCACGCAAATTTTTTAGAGAAATTCCCGTCAGGCCACAGGCGTTA